GTGGATCACGCCTGTAATCCCAGCACTTTGGGAGACCAAGGTGGGCGGATCAGAGGTCAGGAGTTTAACACCAGCCTGGCCAACCTGGTGAAACCCCGTCTCTACTAAAAATACAAAAACATTAGCTGGGCGTGGTGGCAGGTGCCTGTAATCCCAGCTACTCAGGAGGCTGAGGCAGAATTGCTTGAACCCGGACCCAGGAGGCGGAGGTTGCAGGGAGCCGAGATCGCTCCACTGTATTCCAGCCTGGGCTACAGAGCGAGACTCCGTCTCAAAAAAACAAAATTCTCGCTTTTGCGGGTGGCGGCGGGCGCGGAGAGGACGCCATGAAGGCTTCGGGCACCCTACGAGAGTACAAGGTGGTGGGTCGCTGCCTGCGCACCCCAAATGCCACACACCACCCCTCTACCGCATGCAAATCTTTGCGCCTAATCATGTCGTCGCCAAGTCCCGCTTCTGGTACTTCGTATCTCAGTTAAAGAAGATGAAGAAGTCTTCAGGGGAGACTGTCTACTGTGGGCAGGTGTTTGAGACGCGCCCCCTGCCGGTGAAGAACTTCGGCATCTGGCTGCGCTGTGACTCCCGGAGCGGCACCCACAACACGTACCGGGAGTACCGGAAGCTGACCACTGCGGGTGCTGTCACCCAGTGCTACCGAGATACGGGCGCTCGGCACCGCGCCCGGGCCCACTCCATTCAGATCATGAAGGTGGAGGAGATTGCAGCCAGCAAGTGCCGTCGGCCAGCTGTCAAGCAGTTCCACGACTCCAAGATCAAGTTCCCGCTGCCCCACCGGGTCCTGCGCCGTCAGCACAAGCCACGCTTCACCACCAAGAGGCCCAACACCTTCTAGGTGCAGGGCCTTCGCCCGGGTGTGCCCCAAATAACCTCAGAAACGTCCCGGTGGGAAAAAAAAAAAATTCTCTTGGAACTGTTCCGTGCCTGTCAACTGCATGGCGCTAGGGGGCGCTGCAGCACCACGGTGTTTTATAGTCATTACAACACTCGTCCAGCAGATGGCGGCAAAGTGTTGGGGAAAGAGGATGCCCTTTTGCCAATCCCCATATATTTTTCTGATTTTCGTTTGTATGGTATGCAAACATTTCCAATTCTCAAAATTTGGTCTCAGCTACCATTCTAACCATTTGAGGCTTACGCTTCTCTGTTTCCCGTCCACTCTGGGCCGAAGTCTTCCTGTCAGTGAAACAGGGATGTTTAAAGGAGTTTTCTTGGGCCCGTTTCCCAGAGCTGTCCTGACGACCCATTTGGGGCAGTTTCTCTCTTGTTGGGGCGTGGAGCTGCTCTTAAGGCCCTGCCTGCTGAATCCTCAAATAACGTGGTGGACACTCCCCTCCAGACCTCCTCTGTGGACCCAGGCTCTCCTCTCTCCTCTCTCAACCCCTTGGAGTTCCCACCTCTTCTGGGCCCCAAAGTCCTGTCTCTAACTCAAAGACAGTTAGTTATCTGTGTTAAAATAAAATCACACGGGCCCGACGCGGTGGCTCACGCCTGTAATCCACTGCGGGAGGCCGAGGCGGGTGGATCATTTAAGGCCAGGAGTTCGACACCAGCCTGGCCAACATGGAGAAATCCCATCTCTATTAAAAATACAAAAATTAGCCACGCGTGATGGCGCTTACCTGTAATCCCAGCTACTCGGGAGGCTAAGGCACGAGAATTGCTTGAATCCGGGAGGCAGAGGGGCAGTGAGCGGAGATCGTGCCTCTGCACTCCAGCCTGGGTGATAGAGCAAGACCCCGTCTCAAAAAGAAAAAAAAAAAAGTAACCTTTTCTGCGCTTGCTCGCTTTATTTTTCAGAGCTCTGATTGCCCCTGGTGCGCTCATTTGTTTCTCAATAGCACGCCGACTTGTCAGGGAGGTTAATAGAGTAAATTGGTGACACGGGCGTTGCAATCAGGAAGCGCTGAGAGTAGGAAGTCAGGTGGGCTCACGACTAGCAATGCAGGGAACTGCTCGCTCGTGAGGATTGGAGGAGCCACGTGGAAAATGCTGCTGCCCAGAGCCCAGGTGGCTGCGCTGGCCAGGCAGGAGCCCCTGGTTCGCAGCGGTGGCCGTCACTGCTGCTGCTGCCACCACGGCCCAAGTATCCCCTAGATGGCGTCCCCTTCCTCTGGCTTCCTCTCCCATAGCAACAGCAGTCCCTGCAGAGGACTCTGGAGTTGTGGTTGCGGGGTCCTACCCCGCAGGGGGCAGGTGGGCGTGGCGGGGAGAGGCAGTAGAGTCCCTCAAGGTCAGCTCTGACCTGTCCCCGAAGTGTTCCCGGCCCCAGCAACTGCTCAGTTATTTGTTGACTACTGACGGTCGATAGAAATCACCTGGACTGGGGAAGGCTGACCCCAGATGCGCCTACTGGGGAATGTGCTGGAAAGATATGCCCCCTGGAGGGAGTGCGCCCAGGGAGTGGGGAGGAGCGTTTGAGATCGAAAGAGTGGCCGCGTAAAGGCCCTGAGGTCTCGCAAGGAAGGGTCCTGGGGGTTCCCAGGTCCTGTTGTAGGTGCAAGAAACAGGAACCTCCTAGAGCGAGCATGCGGAGGGGAGGCAGTGGGTATGCCTCCTAGATGAAGACGAAATCCATGCATTAGGGAGTGAGGCCTGCTGGGGACAAAAGTCTGGCAGGCAGGGCCCGAGGAGGGTCGGGGCAGGAGAGGGTTTGCAGTCATCGGAAACGGGGCGGCCTGGAAAACCCTCACTGAGAAGGTGCCAAGTAAGCAAAGACCCGAAGCAGGTGAGGGGCCAGCAGATGCCTGGGGGAAGCGCATGATGGGAGATGCAGGAAGAGCCAGGTTAAAAGCCCCAAGTGGGTGTGATAATAGGGGGTTATTAATGTGTGACTACTGCCCCTCCCGTGCCAGGCTCGGTGCTGGCGTAGGGGAGGCAGTGGCGCCAAAGAAGGCCACCTGCCTCCATGGTGGTCGCTGTCGGGTTGGATTCCCACGTGCCTGGAGTTTTAAAGTGAGGCAGCCTGGAAATGAACTTGCAGAGTTCGCTGGGGCGCCTGGGGGAGGTTCGGCCGCGTAGACTTTCAAAGAGCGGGCCCGGGCAGGGATCTGGATCCTGAACCCCGCTGATCCCGGAGCCAGCTCAGAGACAGGGCGCCCTAAAACTCCTAGGGATATGACCAGCTGCTGGAGGGAGGGAGAAGTCTGGCTTCCGGGGACAGAAAACGACACTCTCTACCCCCATCCGGTTCCCCAGACCCGGTTTCCACCGAGGCCCCGCCCTCCCCAGCGCAGTCTCCGCCCCTTGCATAGGAGGCCACATCTCCTACATCTAGATATGCAGAGAACATGTCAACGCGCAGGAACTGCAGCGCCCCATTTAACCACCAAGAGGCGCTCCAGGGCCGCTGGTAAAAATCGTGCGGGAAGAGATGGCTGGAGGCCAGGAGTTCAAGACCGGCCTGAGCAAAATACTGACCCACCCTCAACCCCCGCTCCCCGCCTCTCGTCTATACAACAATAAATACAAATAAATAAATAAAATAAACAAATAAATATTAAATCGTGCTGGCGATGGTTTTTCTCGAGCACTGGAAATGCCGAAGTTTTCCCTGGCCTTTCAACGCTAGACTGCAGAAAGCAGCAGGACAGCGGTTCTCAAAGTCAGGTCCTGGACCAGATGCGTCAACGTCTCCTGGGAACTAGATACACATTATCCAGCCCACCCGAGACCTACAGAACCCCTTTGGGCCAGGAGCCCAGAAAGCTGAGTTTTCAAAGGACCCCCCCAGGCACCTGCGATACGGGACCAGCTTGAGAAACGCTCCGGAATCACAGTCTGAGACCCCAGCTGTGGGGTCTGATGGTCTCTAGGATCCCTAGGGTCGCGGTTGTCAGCCCCGGCTGCCCATTGCTGGGAATCACCTGGGAAGCTTTAGGGACTGTTGCTGCCCCAGCGGTGCTCTGCACCATCCCGAGATTCCAAGAGTGGCTCCTGTGTGCATGCTGGACAAGGGCTCTGGGCCATTCCAGGGGCAGCCCGGGCGGGGACTGCTACCCTAGGGTCTCTGTCAAGGCCAGCATGTGCAGTGAATAACTGGCCGCCGCTGATATGTAGCAGGAATAAGACGAGATGATGTCTCCTAGGGTTGATTTGAGCACGAACACATCACACCCTTTTCAGTACCCTGAGCAATGCTGGAAGGAAAGCTCTGCTATGATCCCCCTTTCCCATGAGGACATGGAGGCACAGAGAGGTCAAGTAACCAGCCCAAGGTCACACAGCTTGCAAGGGGCGGTGCTGGGGCAGCCAGGCAGCCGAGCTCCAAATTTCTCTTCACCCAGTACCCAACCATTTCCTCTTCTCCTGTCACACCCTGTGGGCCTGGGAGGGGGACTCAGAAATCAGAAATCCTTCCACCCCCGTGTCTTTTGTTTGTTTGACAGAATCTCGCTCTGTCGCCTAGGCTGGAGTGCAGTGGTGCAATCTCGGCTCACTGCAACCTCCGCCTCCTGGGTTCAAGCAATTCTCATGCCTCAGCCTCCCAGGTAGCTGGGATTACAAGCACCTGCCACCACGCCCAGCTAATTTTTGTATTTATAGTACAGACGGGTTTTCGCCATGTTGGCCAGGCTGGTCTCAAACTCCTGACCTCAGGTGATCTGCCCATCTCGACCCCCCAAAGTGCTGGGATTACAGGAGTGAGCCACTGTACCCAGCCCCTCTACCCCCATGTCTTAGAGTGGCATCCCTCCCCTCCATGTCTGTGTTCTGGAATCACCTGTGGCCTCTTATTTTCCTTTTTGGTGACAATGAGGAGCAGCTGGACTGGTCCAGACGAAGGTGGATTCAGAACCCAACCTCTGGTTTTTTGGGCTTCCTCTTGGAAACCTTTGTGCATTTGAAACCACACCCCCAGAGGCATCAAGGGACTGACTGGCCCTGCAGACGCTGTTTCAAGGCCCCTGGGATGAAATCTAATACTGAACACCCTGTTCTGTCTCAGTTACTAGAGGGCTCCCCCCACCTCTGGGGCCTCCCCGAATGCTCGCGGTGGGGATGCTGGGAACAGGAGTTCAGAAAACGTTGTGTTCATTCGAGGGGGAACAAATTTTGACTCAGTGGGGGACAGACTTGCCCAAAGCCTCAAGGCCACCCAGAAAGGCTATGCAAATAAGACCCAGGGATGGCCGGGTATACAAATAAGACTCAGGAGGCGTGAGAATCGCTTGAACCAGGAGGCAGAGGATACAGTGAACTGAGATCGTGCCACTGCACTCCAGCCCGGGTGATGGAGACTCTGTCTAAAACAAACAAACCCAGGGAGACGGTGTGAAACTGTTTTTTTGTTTGTTTGTTTTTGTTTTGTTTTGTTTTTTGAGTCAGGGTTTCACTCTTGTTGCCCAGGTTGGAGTGCAATAGCGCAATCTCAGCTCACCACGACCTCCACCTCCCGGGTTCAGGCGATTCTCCTCCTACCTCAGCCCTGAGTAGCCGGGATTACAGGCATGCACCATCACGCCCAGCTAATTTTTTGTATTTTTAGAACGGACAGGGTTTCATCATGTTGGCCAGGCTGGTCTCGAACTCCTGACTTCAGGTGATCCACCCACCTCGGCCTCCCAAAATGCTGGGATTACAGGTGTGAGCCCCCACACCCGGGTGTGAGACTGTTTCTGCAAGCATCTGTCTGTGACTGACTGGCGTTTGAGTTTCTGTGTGATAACATGTGAGTGTGCCCATGTGGCTGAGGGGATCAAAGTGTCCAATGGCATCTAGCAGTGTGTGACGTGTCCTGAGTGAGTGAACACGTTGGCATTTGCAAGTACGGCAGTGTTTGCGTGAATGGGTCTGTGGGTGTGTGGGGGTCGCCTTCCCGGAGCAGTGGATCTGTGTGCCTCTGTGAGTACGTGTGTGCGCTACACGTGTGTGTCCGTGTCTGTGTCTATGTATGGGCAGG